TATATGTAACTTTATTTCCATCAGTTTCCAAAATGAAACATCCAGAGAAGTGCTGTCTTGTGTCATAGGGAGTTTTATACACTCTACAGCCTCCTAGAAGGTCTGAATTACTTAATTGTTATGCCATTTGCAAAAAAAAAAAAAAAAATCCTAATAAGATAATGAGTTAAGATTTTTAATCATGATCCTATTACAAAATATTCATGCACAGTGTAGTTTTCACGGGATTCGATTGCACTGGTTCCTGCATTAGTGCCAGTAACCAGTGATAACTTATTATTTTCCCATTGTTTATTTTACTTGATTTGCATGGAATAATTAATAGACAGAGTTGTGAAATTCTTATTTTTCAGTATATTTAATATGTATTTTATTAGGGTCCATACTTCTTTACTTCTATTCTTTGAAAATCACCAGAATATAGAAAACATTCCGGATTACTAAAAAATCACTTATTTTTATTCAGTAAAATTGACTGCTATAAAAAATTCCACATTTTGCCACATTGTTTCATTTAAATCCCCTAAAAACCTACCTTAGCGTGACAAGGGTGGCTTGTACAGTAATACTGTAAGGTGGCTTTAGCCAGGATACACAGGCGCATGATAGCTTATACTTGTGTGATGTACTGAGTCAATCGACTGAAAGGGAACTAATATATTTTTTACTCTTCATTGAGTAAAATAATCATGAAGTGGTGTTACTTCAATAAGTGTACAGTACAATTAGTGTGTACTTTTCATTAACCCTGAGACTATGTTATTTATTTTTGTCTAAGTGTAAAGTGATCTTTGCAAAAAGACATTGAATTTTTTAATTGTTTGAATTGAATAATTACTGTATTACCAGCAGGTTTCATTTTGAACAATCCCTCTTCAACATGGAATATCCTGTTCATCTTTGGAAGATCTAAATTTTATAGGGTGTTTTCACATCAGCGAAGTTCTTTTTAGATCTGCTTGTTAGATCAGGAGCAAAAACAAACTTTATTTTTTTCTGTTTGGTGTGGTTTGCTTTCAAAATTTACTTTTTGCAAGTAAACTATAACTTGTTGAGTGTTGCTCCAATCATACAGAAATGAGCAGAGAGAGACAAAGTATATTAGGACATTTAGGAATATTGCATATTGTGCTGTTATTTAATTATTGTGAGAGAAGCTCATTCAATGCTTGTTTTGAGAACATTTCATTTCTAACTTTGGCACTGTGTCAAGATTGCATTGCTTAGCAACAGACAATGGATCAGGTAAGATTGCTGCTTTGTATTTATACCAAAAGTGAACCGCACTTTTGTTTGAAAGTGGACCAAGACCACCTTGAAAAAGTAGCTCTCTGTTTTACTTGACAGCTAGTTTGCACCCGTATTCTATAAGCATGATTTTGTCATCATACGCACCCTTATTTTCAGTCTTCTCTTCCTTCACATAAAATCTTTTATTTTGTTACTACATCTCCTATCCTAATCCAATCTATCTCTAACCATGTCCTAGTTTTACTTGCTTTTGATTGAGAAGTGAAAAAGTGTTTTACTAATGTTCAGTGAATCTAGAAATGGAAATACAAGGTCCCTTGAGTAATAATGCCTGTGCTGCATGCTGAGAACGTTAGTATCTAAGAGACACAAGGCCTTTGGGACCACCAGCCTGACAAAATAATGTTCCTCACTTGTTACCGTGTGCACAGTAAGCTGTGGTTATGAGTGTTTCAATTTGTTCTCTTTTCTCAAGAGGGATATTCTCTATTCTAAATAAGATTTACTAATCTAAACCTTTAGAGCACTACCGAGTCAATAGAACCCTGGTAGCCTGTTGTGTGTATTGTTTCTGTAACAACAATGAAAGACAACAATGTAGATCATAACCTTTTAACAAACCTCTTTTTATTCAACAAACCCAGGCGTCCAGACAAGCGGAACAAGCACTAATGAATGTTTCATGAAGCACCACCATGCATGTGTGCATGGGGAAAATAATTTCATGTCAGAAACATCACAGCCTTCGGTCCAGTGAGGATGAAGAAAATGGGTGAAATGGTGCTGATTGCACATGGGTATACCAAAGCCCCATCGTATGCATTTCAAATAACTTTGGCTCTACTTAAAAGAGAAAAAAAAGCAGAGTTCAACTCTTTGGGTTTCCTCGTCTGTCCAACTCATCTCAGGGCTGGGGTAATTTTTCCCCATCTGCTTTAGAGTTGTGGTGTGCAGAGCTAGACAACAGACAGAATTTGTGTGGAATTGTTGCTGCCTGACAGCCTATTTGTCAACACTGACAAGTCTCTGGACTGGTGCCAGAGTTTCTAGGAGTTTTCACCGAGTGTTTGGGTCCATATTTCATCCATAAAGCATGCTCCCTTCAGTCTGGAGCAGTTGTGGCATCCCTCTTTCAGACTGCATGGCTTAAGAGAACCTTAGAGTGAAGGGAGAGGAGACAGCATCTGAAAGAGGTCCTATCAGCACACTGTATGCACGTCTAAGTCACGAGGACATCTATCTCCTGATTAAATCAAGACACAAGGAAATTGCCTTTAGAGTAAATTCAATTGAGTATATCTATCACAAAGACAGTTTCAGTGACAAAGCATGTTTCCCAAAACAAATGGAAAGATGCTTTTAATGTCCTACTTCTTTAAAAGTCAGATTTTTTTTTTTGTTGGGGGGGGAGGGGGGGGGTCTACACACCCCTGTTGTAATACAGGTTTCTGAGATGTGAAAGCATATACCACAAAAAAATAATCTAAGGCTAGCACGACCTTTAATGTGACTTACTGCACAATCCAACTCAAAAAGAAGGGAAGCTATTAATTATACACACCTCATAGTTAATCACCTTTTACAGTACATCTTACACTCCCCTCAAGAAATGTACCATATACAATATTTGAAAATGCTGTCATTGAAAACTCTGTCACTAAAAGCATGCATCTGGGTTGACGGCTATGTGTGTCTCGGCTATTCTTCCTTTACATCAGTTTTCATGGGGAACATCACGGATATCCAAACAGTTCTATGCCTTGTGACCCTGATCATTGTTTCCAAAGTTTTATGCATTTTCTATCCAGTTTTTTCTTCAAAATTAAAGTTTCAAGTCTATAAGCTTTAAGGTCATGTGGGTTACTGACACTAAACTTATGTGAAATTTTTATAGTACACTGGACAGGTGATGCAGACTTGTTTTTGTCCAATTTTAATGCATTTACACGTTTTCTAATAACATTTAAAATCAGAAAACCATGATTTATTTTCATTTATTCATTCTTGTTATAACAAAATAATTTCTTTTGTTGTCAGTCCCTAAGAAAACAACACTGCATAGGGTCAGGCATGAACTGGTAATCGGGCGTACCGGGCATTTGCCTGGTGGGCCGACTTGCTGTTTGGGCCGGCAGACCCGACATGTATATTAATAATATGTATTATTATTATTATTATTATTATTATTATTATTATTATTATTATTATTATTATTATTATTATTATATATCGGCCTTGTTATATTTGCATAATGCATGAAGAAAAATAAAATCAGGAGCGCAAAAGTCTGTTCCGATCAGCCGGCCCGTACCACAGGCTACTGCAGCCCATTGGTTATCATACCTGACAGTCTAAAGGGCTAGGCCAATCAGAAAGTAGAAAAACACCTTCACTCTCCATTGGAACTTTGTGCAGCGGTGTTCACAGTAGTAATGGATAAGAAACGAAAAGAAACAAGTTCTTCAAACGGACGCTGCGAAATGTGTCAAACTGACTGACATGTTCCCAACAGCAGGCCCTTCATCAACTCCGGTGTCTGATGTTAAATATGATGGTGGTTGTAGTGGAGGCGACTGCGAACCGAGCAGTGAACATATCAGTGCGGCTGCTGCAGTAGTAGAACCTGTGGTAAGCCAGACAGTTTTCAGAGCCCCAAGCTATGTAATGCAGACATCCCAAGTCTCCCTGAAGTTCCAGGAATCTCCCTGATATCGATAGTTGTTTACGGATGCCCGCGAGTCTGATAAATTATCCCGGATTTTAGACTCTGGGAGGTGGGGTTTTTTAATGCGAGTGAGAGCGGTCAGGCAGTACAATAATTCGTGCATCATGTGCGGATTAGAACTACTGCGATTGCCCAGGAACAAGAGAGGGCGGAGTGAGGAGGAGGTTGCTGGTGAAACCTGCGCAGCGTTTCTGTCCAAAGCGATGCTCTGATCAACCAGCGTTCCAGGCGGCTGGTTGACCAGAGAGCTGATTGGATCAGTCCGATGACTTTCTCTGGGTTACTCTCTGACAGTCACCTAGTTACCACTCAAAGCTGTGCATCCTGTGAAATGGCAGAGGTTCAATCCTCGAGTAAAAAATTAATATATAGGACTAATTTTACAACAGAATATACTAAAGTATATCCAGGTCTATTGAAGGGGAGGATTGCTCACTGAGGAACTTCAGCACTGTATGCTGAAGAAAGCACAACCGATGTTTAAGGCTACAAGATTAAAAGTATTAAAAATAAAAGACCAATATTGTTCTGTTTAGTGTTTAAGAAATAACTGTTAGTTAATAAACAGTTGTTGAAAAGTTGCTGGCCTTAAGTGTATATGGGGCACGGTCTGTTGTGCCCGGGGGGCGGGCGGTTGGGGGATAAGCATCTCCCTGAAATGAGTTTTTGGAACTTGGGATGTCTGGTAATGATGATAGGATAAACCAACCAACCCCTTGATGAATATGATAAAATAACATAACCCCAATAAAAACATGTTGGTTAATGTTCCATGGTAAAGTTAATTTAGTAAACACAAGTGCTGCTACCCATAAACGTCATGCTAGCACTAGTGGCTAATGATGATTTTTTTTTGTAGCCTACACTGTCATGTCTGGCTGAACCTTACGGACCCACATGCAGAATCTGGCTCGGACACAACTGAAGGGAGAAGAGTTTATTGTTTATTCAGCCAACACAGAATGGAGAATAACTGAGAGTCACTTAGAATACACTGCCACAGGCTGTGCAGGTGGCCGGAGGTGCGCTGAGGGAGGAGACGTTGATCACGGAGCTGTCACAGAGGTGGTGAAGAGCGGGCAGTCAGACTGAGGCGATCGTCAGAGAGTTTTCACTGGAGCGGTGGAGAGCGGGCAGGCTGACAGAAACTAAGCTGCAGATAGGATCAGCACGCTGAGTTAGACGCAGAAGGGATCCGTCCAGGAGCGCTTCGATTAAAACCAGAATATGGGGACCATCAGGCGTGGAAGAGATGGCTGCAGCTCCTTAAATCCCTCTCAGGTGGATGGGTTGATTGGTCTCAGGTGCTCGGACAGCCAGCCACGCCCACCTGCAGTGCTCCAGAAGAAATAGAGAAACACTCCACTCAAGGGTTCTGACATCACCCCCCCCTCAATGACCGCCCCTTGGCGGTCCACTAGAGCCAGGACGAGAATCCTTAAAGTCTCTAATGAGGTCAGGGTCCAGGATAAGGGAACGAGAAACCCAGGAACGATCCTCTGGGCCGTAACCCTCCCAGTCCACCAGATACTGGAAACCCCTGCCTCGCCGACGGACATCCAGCACCCGTCTTACAGTGTACGCCGGGTGCCCACCAATGTCCCGAGGGGAAGGAGGTGGCTTAGGAGGCGGGCACAGGGGCTAGATCTGACTGGCTTAATCAAGGACACATGAAAAACAGGGTGGATCTTAAGACTCGCTGGTAACTTTAGACGAACAGAAGAAGGACCCAAAACAGATTCCACTTCATAGGGGCCAATAAATCTTGGAGAAAGCTTCTTGTTAGCTGATTTCATTTGAATGTCTCTGGTGGAAAGCCATACCTTGTCTCCAGGGCGGTAGGCAGGGGCAGGAGCTCGTTTCCGGTCAGCATAGCGCCGATTCTGTTCAGCGGTTCGATGCAGGGCTCTCCGAGTCTGTTCCCAAATACGCTTGCAGCGTCGAAGATGATGTTGAACTGAAGTAATGGATGTCTGCCCTTCTTCTGATGGAAAAAGGGGGGGCTGGTAACCCAGCGACACCTCAAAAGGAGAAAAACCTGTAGCAGAAGATACATGACTGTTGTGGGAGTACTCAATCCAAGGCAAATGGGAACTCCAAACAGTCGGATTAGATGAACAAAGACAACGAAGGGCAGCCTCCACTTCCTGATTTAAACGTTCAGTCTGACCATTAGTCTGTGGGTGGAAACCAGAGCTGAGTGAAACCTTAGCTCCTAAAGCCGTGCAAAACTCTCTCCAAACCCTTGAAGTAAACTGGGGTCCCCTATCTGAGAGAATCTCCTTAGGGATGCCATGTAATCTGAACACATGTTTAATGAGAAGCTGAGCTGTTTGAAGTGAAGACGGGAGTTTCTTTAATGGAACAAGGTGACAGGCTTTTGAGAATCTGTCAATGATAGCTAGAATGGTGGTGAATCCACTGGAGACGGGTAACCCAGTAACAAAATCTAGAGCTATGTGAGACCACGGCCGCTCAGGTATAGGCAGGGGTTGAAGAAGCCCACTAGGGTGTTGATTGGATGATTTGTTCCGGGCACAGATATGGCAAGCAAGAACATAATCCCTAACATCCCGGTTCAAGGACGGCCACCAAAATGCACGTCTCAGAAGACCAATGGTCCTGCCAACTCCTGGATGACAGGAGAACTTGGCGGTGTGTGCCCAGTGAATAACACGGGAGCGGACAGATGTGGGAACATAAGTGCGATTGGGAGGACCGCTGCCTGGATCGGGTTCCTGGCCCTGGGCTGTCCGGACTAGGTCTAGTATGTCCCAGTTAACAGTGCCAATAATACAGGATGGTGGTACCAAGGTACCTTCAGTGGGTTCCTGGTCAGAGGAGAACTGTCGGGAGAGGGCATCTGGCTTAGTATTTTTGGAGCCAGGCCGGTAGGAGATAATGAAGTTGAAACGGGTGAAAAATAGTGACCAACGGGACTGTCTAGGGTTCAGGCGTTTAGCTTCTCGGAGATAGGACAAGTTTTTGTGGTCTGTCCAAATTAGAATAGGTAAATCGGTTCCCTCAAGCCAGTGGCGCCACTCCTCTAGGGCCAACTTAATAGCTAAAAGTTCTCTGTCCCCAACATCATAGTTTCTCTCCGGAGGGGAGAGCCGACGAGAGAAGAAGGCACAGGGATGTAATTTGTCATCCTTAGTTGAGATCTGAGACAGCACCGCACAGACACCAGAGTCAGAGGCATCAACTTCCAAAATGAATTGCTTGGATGGGTCTGGTTGGACAAGCACAGGAGCATTAGCAAACTTACACTTAAGTTCCTGAAAGGCCTGATCTGCCTCGGGTGTCCATATAAACAGCCTCTTGGTGGAAGTCAAGCTAGTTAGGGGAGCAGCTGTCTGACTGTAGTTCTTAATGAACCGCCGGTAAAAGTTTGAAAACCCCAGAAAACGTTGAAGATGTTTCCTTGTAGTGGGGACCGGCCAATCCAAAACCGCTTGAACCTTGTGAGGGTCAGCCTTCACCTGCCCGCTCTCTAGTATAAACCCCAGGAAGGAAATTGAGGGAACATGAAACACACACTTCTCTGCCTTGACAAAAAGTCTGTTCTCCATCAAACGTTACAAAACCAGACGGACATGAGCTTTATGCTCCTCTGATGTCTTAGAAAATATCAGAATGTCGTCAATGTAGACGAAGACAAAGTCATTGATGAAGTCCCTAAGAACATCATTGACCAGTGATTGGAAAACTGCTGGGGCATTGGTAAGACCAAAAGGCATAACTAGATATTCAGAAGGAACGTTAGATAGGTCAACAGTTACCTCACACCTCATGTCAGCGGGTTGAGAACTCACATGGGCAGAACGGAGGCAGCTTGAGAGACAATGGAGGCTCCAGGACTCAACTCTACCCTCTCTCCAGTTCAGATGTGGATTATGTAATGAGAGCCAAGGATGGCCAAGGACCACTGGGGACTGGGGAGAAGGGAACACAAAAAAGTTTAGCTTCTCATGATGGTTGCCAGACACAACCAACTCAATAGGTTCTGTAGTGTGAGTTACAAAGGATAAAGGCTTACCGTCCAAAGCCGAGACGTGAACTGGAGAAGGTAAAGGCAAAGTGTTAATTTTTAACTGTTTAACCAGGTTACAGTCAATTAGGTTTTGTTCACATCCTGAATCAATTAACACCGGTACCTGAAATGATTCTTGATTAAGAAGCAGAGAGCTTGGAAGGATGAAACGGGAAGCAGTTTGGTTGAGCCCACCCACCAGTATTCCCGTAACTACTGGTGGGCTCCCCCTTTTGGCCTCTCTGGACAAAGGGCAATGTAATGACCAACCTGGCCACAATATAGGCACGCCCGTGAGTCCATACGACGCTGTCTTTCTTCAGCTGACAGACGGGCACGCCCAATCTGCATGGGCTCCTCAGGGGACATTGTAGTGGTGGATGGATTTGAGGTGAACCTGGCAAAGGCTGGCTGGGGAGAGGGTACCCCCCCCCTAAATCTTTTTTCACGGGACCGCTCTCTTATCTGGTTATCAATACGGACTGCTAAAGAGATGAATTCCTCCAACTCCTCAGGTTCATCCTGATAAGCAAGCTCATCCTTTAAATGTTCATTGAGGGCCTGCCGGAAAGCTCCCTTAAGAGCTGGCTGGTTCCAACCAGAGGCTGCAGCTAAGGTCCGAAAATCTATGGCAAAATCTGCCACTGATTGTCTCCCCTGTTTGATACTCCAGAGCTTTCTGGTGACATCAGCCTCAGAATCAGCATAACCAAATGTTTGCTTGAACTCAGCAATAAACTCCTCATAGGATCTCCGAAAAAGGGTCTGTTGACTGAATTTTGCCTCAACCCATCTTAAAGCCCTTCCTTGAAGAAGTCCGGCAACATAGGAAATACGGGAGGAGTCATCGGGGAATGATTGAGGTGAACGACTAAACACTAGTGAACACTGGAGCAGAAAACCCCCACATTTCCCGATCTCACCTGAATAGGGCTCTGGAGTTGGTGAGGAGGCGTCCCGGAAACGTGACTGTGCGGGAGGCGGCAGGGGGAGATCACTTGCTGCGCCGGCTGCGTGAGGGGGCGGACCTGCTGCTGGAACGGGACATGACAGTTTCTGATTAACTTCATGCATTAACCTTGTTAATTGGTCCAAGCGTTGTCCTGAGAGGTGCTGCTACTCGAAAAGGGACTGCAACATGTTTTCGTGTTTTACCAAAATACCGGCTGGGTCCGCTGCGGAGCCAGGAGGTGATTCTGCTGGGTCTGACTGGCCTGATGGTTCTGTCATGTCTGGCTGAACCTTACAGACCCACATGCAGAATCTGGCTCGGACACAACTGAAGGGAGAAGAGTTTATTGTTTATTCAGCCAACACAGAATGGAGAATAACTGAGAGTCACTTAGAATACACTGCCACAGGCTGTGCAGGTGGCCGGAGGTGCGCTGAGGGAGGAGACGTTGATCACGGAGCTGTCACAGAGGTGGTGAAGAGCGGGCAGTCAGACTGAGGCGATCGTCAGAGAGTTTTCACTGGAGCGGTGGAGAGCGGGCAGGCTGACAGAAACTAAGCTGCAGATAGGATCAGCACGCTGAGTTAGACGCAGAAGGGATCCGTCCAGGAGCGCTTCGATTAAAACCAGAATATGGGGACCATCAGGCGTGGAAGAGATGGCTGCAGCTCCTTAAATCCCTCTCAGGTGGATGGGTTGATTGGTCTCAGGTGCTCGGACAGCCAGCCACGCCCACCTGCAGTGCTCCAGAAGAAATAGAGAAACACTCCACTCAAGGGTTCTGACATACACTGAGTGCATCCTCTCTGACAGGATTTCTAATGGTTCATCATTTTGTCATTGGCATCCTTTTTACCTGGCATCCTTTTTTCCTGTTACCCTACAGTATCTGGAAGACTGAATAGATCTGATGAGCAACTTACAATAACTTCTTATGATGATATAACGTGATAATATGTGTGATTGACGGTGACCTCTCTCTCTCTCTCTCTCTCTCTCTCATCTAGGATTTGTTGCTGTGCTGTGGTGGAGTTTACATTTTACAGTGTTAATAAACTAAGATTTTGGAAGTATTTTAAGTGTCCACTCTCACTAATTTCCATTAACCTGGCCTCAGGTATTGCACAGTTGGTATTGCACATTTGGTATACACATTCAGTACACCAAAAAAAATGTGGTGGGCCAGTGTAGTCCAAAATGCCAGGGCCGATTTTTTGTCCCAGTTCACCCCTGCATAGGGTAGAAAGGCTCTAGTTAGTATTTATAAGTTTCATTGCCCCCTCAGCTAAGCCAGTAGTGAAAAAGGGTAGCCTGGCCAGCCTGTACTGTAGGTCATCTCAGTCTGGCAAGAGCTGGAGAACACTAGTTCAAAGGCGGGACTGACAGGGTCAGTGTCATCAAGTTAGATGTAATTTGATAACGAAGAACGTGACACAAAAACTCAAAGCAAGGTGCTCTGTTTTTGTAATTGTGTAGTACGTAAAATAATTCAAGCCATCAAATAAACTTTTGCCTAAAATCTGACAATGTAAGGTATGCTCTCTTTGTTCCTAATTTTCATTGCAAGATTGCGCCATTGCAGATGTTAGCTTCTTCTTATGCTAGCAGGAAAGCGCTCCTTCATTATGGATAAGTCTGGCTCTGAGATTCACTAATCGTTAAGTCCCGCCTACTGCGCTGTGCTTGATCTGGAAAGATCTGGCAAGTCAACAGTGATTTACCAGACTGGTTTACACTCCATTTAATTAAGTATGGCTAGCGAAGCTAAAAAGAGGGGGATGCATTAATACTTTTTATCCCGAAGAGGCCTACAAACAGGGGGTTTAAGACATGTAGACAGCACTATAAAATACCTATCTATACAATTCATTAGCAACAAAGTAAGGGTAAGTCATCCTTAAACCAGCTTCAGGATCGAGTCCTTTTTGTCATTTCTTTGTAGTCTGTTATCATCTTACATTTTGCGTCACTCTGTCTTGTCCACAGCTCTCTTCAGTTTTAGACCTGGATGCTGTTTGGGCCATTGAACATGGTTCTACTGGAGGTTTCTTCCTGTTAAAAGGGAGTTTTACCTCTCCACTGTCGCTACAAGCATGCTTAGTGTGAGGGATTGCCTTTGGGTCAATGAGTCGATGCACCAACTGTTTTTCCTTAGATAGAAAACTTTGAATCAATTTGACTGTATGACCTGGTGAACTGTAAAGTGCCTTGAGGTGACATGTGTTGTGAATTGGCACAATATAATAAACTGAATTGAATTTAAAAGTGTTTAACTTTGCTCCATATTTTCTAGTTTTATTGGTTTAATTCTTTTTTTATGTGTTTTCTGGTTATATTTCAGTTCTCAGGTTTTTATCTGTTGCCCTCTGGTGTTGGTCTCCTTTTTCCCTAGCTCCTTAGACTGCTGTCTTTACACCTGCTCCCAGTCTGCTCGTTAGTCCTCTCTTTGTTCAGTTAGCCATAAATACTCTCCTTGTGCAGTTCCTCAGTGCTAGTTCCTCGTCTAACATCCTCCAACTCTGTCTTACTGTGTCTTACCTCGTTGTGATTGCTTCCCCTGAAGTCTCCATGGTTCTGGTTTGTTTTACTTTTTTCTTGTTGGATTTTTGGATTCCTGCCTCAGTTTTTTGTGAACCACTCATTAAATCTACAAGAAATTCATGTCTGCCTCCTTGCCTCTGCATTTGGGTCCTCAAACCTCAACCTAACTTTGACAGATCTTACCATATATATTAACGATCATGGAGGCACCACGTCTCATCAGAGCCAGGTGGTCAATGCAGGGTTTGTTTATGTACATGCACTATTACTTCTGTTGCAGGTTGTGTGACTTTCATTGTGGCTTTTGTGTTGTCTTATTTATTTTTGACCTTATACCTTTTGGGTCACCGTTGATTTAGCTTAAAACTGTAAAAGATAGTGAACCCAAAACACACGGCCGACACAAAAAAACGTAAATTATTTTCCTGGATCGCAGGAACCGTGTGTAGGTCTGAAGCAGAAAGAAATGTTTTAAAGTTGTGCGATCAGAGAATGGAGAGATCCAAAGGATTGGCACAACTTCAACCAGCTTCAAACAGAGATGCGTGAAGAGGATCAGCAAACTGGTGCGGTGAAAACTTTACAAACACCTGAAGTCCTGGAAAACACTTAATTGGTAGACCAACTCATTTCAGCTTTGAGCCTTCTTTAGGGTCATGATGACAGAATGGCATAATCTCATCTAGATATGGATGGCAGGGTTGTTCCAGAAAATAGGTAGCTCTTTTGAAAGGAAGAGCCCAGTTCCTGGTATATGAAATCCAAAGTTTGGCTACAAACATATCTGGCAGACAGAGCAGTCAGAAGACAAAAGATGATTAAAAAAGGCCAATAAAACGAACACAGCCTAAATAACCGGGCAGGAGCAGGCAGTGAACTGGGGTCCAGAAAATAGGGTTGTAATCCATGTGACTGAATTGTTTATCATTGATGCTTCAGGTATTTTGCTCAGTCTGCTAAGGCTTGAATGAACTTGTATCCTAGAGCGGTGATGTGGAAAGGATTAGACAGGCACAGGTGGGCATGGTTAGGTGACTGATAAGTACAGTATGAAAATTATAGTCATTCAAAGGAATACCTAGTATGTGACAAAGAAAGCGGTCCAGAACATGAATCTTGATATGTTTGGTAATTTATCGACCTAAACTAAGAGTCTTGTTCTAGTAAGCCCAGATCATCATACTCCCACTACCATATTTCAATCTTTTTTTTGTTCATTGTTGTTCTTTGGGAATTGTGGTAAAAGAAACAAAAAGTCTAGCTTCTTTTAGGTGAAGACATTCTTATCAAGATTGTGAGGTTTTAATTGCACCTTGATCTTTCAACTCCAATTATGAGTTCAGACGTATGGAGAAAATAAAATTTTTCTGACATGTATAACAGAACTAGTAACAACTTTCAGCAAAAAGCCAACCCCCTTTCAGTTTTGGAGAAAGGTCTTCTTTTCTGAATGGCACTAATGTACCATATTTTCAAGTTATTAATGACAGTCTTAACTGTGCCGTGGCCTTTCATATAAAATTTTAGATATTTTGTACACTTCTGCTGACCCTCCCATGTGAGTTAGAAAATACTATTATTTACTTCTCTTTTTCATCAAAAATCTTTTTTTAAACAGTATGTTTTAAATACAATGTATCATATTTTGAAGGACTAAATAAAACTTAAAAAACATGTAAAAAAAAATGTTTTGTTCATCTTTTTTATGTGGGTTATCTAAGAAAAAAATGAAGGTGTATGATTACATTAACCTCAAAATTCATAAACTTGTCTCTACATTTTATACCCTAAGCACTCGTACAAATGAGATTTGTTCAGCTGACAATAAACTATAATGTTGTATCCTGAAGCGTGAAATATATGTCAGAGTGGATGTCAGTATTTATTTCATTCTATAAAATCTCAAGAGAAGTTCTTGTGGACTTTGATATTGTTTGCT